ACGGATCATATAAACCCGAAGGCAAATATAATACAAGCCCAAACGAAAACATATAAACAACTCTAAATTGAAAACAACGTTCAAACCTATGATTGCGTTGGATAAAAACCGCAATTTTTATACGTGTGCATGCAAAACAAATTTCTTGTTAGAGGGGTCTAAATACAGCACAAACAACATTTTCCAAAAGACCAAAAACGTGAAAAGGTATATTTTAACAAAACGCATTTGACTAACAGGTCGAACAACAAATATTCTTAAACCCTGCTGACTGGCATTGGCGATTGCCAAATAAACGGATAACCGATGTAATAAATGGATCTTTATTATAGATTTAATACTAAACAGAAAACAATAAACTTGCGGAAAAGATGGTATACCGCAAACAAAAGGTGCAAAGGTTTTTGTACACCATATAATATATATATATATATATATGTTTTGTTTTATATATATATAGTGTCTAAAAATAGCAACAATCAACATTCAATCTAACTAGGCGTGGAACAGTTTGTAAATAAATTGATGCAGTTACTACATTAAATTATATAAGTGCCTAAGAATATAACTTTAACACACTTATGAGTATTATAAAATTAGTTGTTATATTTTATATTATTCACGCAATATTTCGCTAAACAAATTAGCTTCATCAGGCGTGTGCATCTCTCAAGGTGAAATCGGATGCATGACAAAAAAATATTTTTGTAGCTTGAACTACACAAAATTTGAGTAAAAGTTTAACAAAATTTATTGATGTTCTATAAAAAATATATGTTTGTAAATTGTCTAGAAAAATATTTTTGCCGCTTATTGTACATAGCAATTCTTAAATCAAAACAAATAGTTGTTTTAGTTAAATAGAATGAAGTTCAGGATTTATTCCTTTGGTTTTGGGTAGAACTGTTTTTCATCTCTCTCATTAAGTCCATCAGGTTCAAGAGTACGTAGCTGATGCATCCAGAACCTTTCTCGCTGTTTTCTCCTTTGGGAGTCCCAATTTTGGTTTACCTCAATTATTTGAAAGGTGATATCTTCAAAAGTATGCCCTGTTCTTAAGAGGTGTCTCGTAATTGGACAGTTTCTTCCTTTTGTATAAAAAGACCGGCGATTGTTATGTCTGATGTTGAATTTCGTTTCTGTTTCACCAACATACTGCAGCTTGCAAGTTCCACAAGTAAGAATATAAATACTATTTTCCGTTTTGCAATTAGATGTGACATATATATAGATGTTGTATCGCTGCTTTGTTACTGTGCTGCTGAAAGAGTGGTCAGTGTTGGCGACTTTACAGCACTTACAATTGGATCTTCCGCATTGTTTGTAACACCCAACTTTAGAAGTCTCTTGTTTCTTTACTTTAGATGTGACAAGTATGTCTTTGAGATTTTTGGGTCTGCGATAGGCAATAACAGGAGGTGATGGAAAAATTTCTTTTAAGAAAGAGTCATTTTCGATAAGACGCCAGTGCTTGCGGGTAGTAGATGAAATATTTGTCAAATCGGGATGGAAGGTGACAACAAACGGAATTCTATCTGCGCGGGTCGTCTTATCTTTGTATTCCATGAGGATATCTCGATCTTTTTCTTGGGCTTAAATTTATCAAAAGCGTCTGTGATGTTTTTGCTTTTGTATCCAATATATCTTTTTGTATTATAGCACTGGCGTCTTATCGAAAATGACTCTTCATTAAAAGAAATTTTTCCATCACCTCCTGTAATTGCCTATCGCAGACCCCAAAATCTCAAAGACATACTTGTCACATCTAAAGTAAAGAAACAAGAGACTTCTAAAATTGGGTGATACAAACAATGCGGAAGATCCAATTGTAAGTGCTGTAAAGTCGCCAACACTGACCACTCTTTCAGCAGCACAGTAACAAAGCAGCGATACAACATCTATGTTACATCTAATTGCAAAACGGAAAATAGTATTTATATTCTTACTTGTGGAACTTGCAAGCTGCAGTATGTTGGTGAAACAGAAACGAAATTCAACATCAGACTTAACAATCACCGGTCTTTTTATACAAAAGGAAGAAACTGTCCAATTACGAGACACCTCTTAAGAACAGGGCATACTTTTGAAGATATCACCTTTCAAATAATTGAGGTAAACCAAAATTGGGACTCCCAAAGGAGAAAACAGAGAGAAAGGTTCTGGATGCATCAGCTACGTACTCTTGAACCTGATGGACTTAATGAGAGAGATGAAAAACAGTTCTACCCAAAACCAAAAGAATAAATCCTGAACTTCTTTCTATTTAACTAAAACAACTATTTGTTTTGATTTAAGAATTGCTATGTACAATAAGCGGCAAAAATATTTTTCTAGACAATTTAAAAACATATATTTTATATAGAACATCAATAAATTTTGTTAAACTTTTACTCAAATTTTGTGTAGCTTGAAAAAAATTTTTGTCATGCATCCGATTTCACCTTGAGAGATGCACACGCCTGATGAAGCTAATTTGTTTAGCGAAATATTGCGTGAATAATATAAAATATAACAACTAATTTTATAACACTCATTATAGTGTGTTAAAGTTACATTCTTAGGCACTTATATATAAGAAGATGTTGTTTGTGCTGTATTTAGACCCCTCTTCCAAGAAATTTGTTTTGCATGCACACGTATAAAAATTGCGGTTTTTATCCAACGTAATCATAGGTTTGAACGTTGTTTTCAATTTAGACTTAATTGTTTATATTTTTTCGTTTGGGCTTGTATTATATTTGCCTTCGGGTTAATATGATCCGTTCATCCTATTTTGACTCTTTCAAAATTCAAGAGTCTATCCTAAATTGAGGTAAATTACATGGCCTTCCAAATACCGTTTCGATTCCTAACATCACTGAAGAGACATTAATTGTCGAAATCCGGATATGGTGTACAAATATTTGCACCTCATGTTTGCGGTATACCATCTTTTCCGCAAGTTTATTGTTTTCTGTTTGGTAATAAATTATTAAAAATAAGATCTATTTTGTTACATCTTGTGATCCGTTTACTTGGCAATCGCCAATGGCAGTCAGCAGGGTTAAAGAACATCAGTTGTTCGACCTGCTAGTCAAATGCGTTTTGTTAAAATATACTTTTTCACTCATTTGGTCTTTTGGAAAATGTTGTTTGTGCTGTATTTAGACCCCTCTACCAAGAAATTTGTTTTGCATGCACACGTATAAAAATTGCGGTTTTTATCCAACGCAATCATAGGTTTGAACGTTGTTTTCAATTTAGACTTGTTTATATATATATATATATATATTCCAAATACCGTTTCGATTCCTAACATCACTGAAGAGACATTAATTGTCGAAATCCGGATATGGTGTACAAATATTTGCACCTCATGTTTGCGGTATACCATCTTTTCCGCAAGTTTATTGTTTTCTGTTTGGTAATAAATTAATGATAAGATCTATTCTGTTACATCTTGTGATCCGTTTATTTGGCAATCGCCAATGGCAGTCAGCAGGGTTTAAGAACATCAGTTGTTCGACCTGCTAGTCAAATGCGTTTTGTTAAAATATACTTTTTCACTCATTTGGTCTTTTGGAAAATGTTGTTTGTGCTGTATTTAGACCCCAGAATACAGAATACTTGTTCGACACATGGAAATATGGTTCCCAATGGGATTATTAGATAGGATTTACATTTTTAACTAGAGAGAGGTTCTAAAGAGCCTTTGTCGCTCACCTATATGTATGTGCATCCTCAACAATGGACACTCTCCAACATTATGGACTAGAATAGATCTGATGTTTATCTTGTTTTGCTGATCATTTGTTCTGTTTACCGTTTATCTCTTTGTTCTTTGATAATTTCCACAAAAACAAAAAAAGGGGGCAATCACTCCTATAAAGAGTCTTCTAACGAATTCGGCAACATTTTTAGATCTTGTCTTGCTTATCATTTTTGCTATTTAAAGTGTCTTATAAAATGTTCAAGTAAATAAGCAAAAAACGCAAAATATTGGTAAAAATCGTCATTAAAGAGCAAGAACTCCATTAAAGTGTCTGCTGACAATTTCGGCAATTTTGGCTTATTTGTAGATCTTGTCTTGCTGGTCAGTTTTTATTTAAAGTGGCTATCAATCTGTAATAGTTTTCAAGATAAGCGGCAGGACACTTAAAATGGGTAAACATTGTCTTTAAAGAGCAATAACTCCAATAAGGAGTAAACTGAAAATTTCAGCTAGCAGACTTATTTGTAGATCTTGTCTTGCTGATCAATTTTGTTTATTCAAGTTTCTATCTATCTATTATATTTTTTCAGATATTTGGCAAAAACACAACAAAATAGGTAAGAATCGTCATTCAAGAGCAATAGCTCAAATAAGAGGTCGTCAGACGATTTCAACCATCAGACTTATTTGTAGATCTGGTCTTGCTGATCTTTTTGCTTATTTTTTTTATCTATGATAGTTTTTCAGATATTAGGCAAAAACGCAAAATATTGATTAAATCGTCATTAGAGAACAATAACTCCAATAAGAATTTGTCTGTCAATTTCGACCATGTTCACATATTTGTAGATCTTGTATAGCTGCTCATTTTTGCTCTTAAAGTTTCTGTCTATCTATTCTGGGACTATTATACTATAGTCAAGTTGTCCCAGATCTATTATAATTTTCAAGATAATAGGCAACAATGAAAAAATTAAACATTTCTACCCTTGTTAGATTTTCTCTATATATAGCGGTTTTCAAGATAATAGACAAAACTTGCATTTTACCCTTATGTTCTATTTTTGGCCATGTCGGCCATGTTAGTGGTTGGCAGGTTGGGTCATTGGACACATTTTTTAAACTAGATATGCTGATGATGATTCTGGCCAAGTTTGGTTAAAATTGGGCAAGTAGTTTCAGAGGAGAAAATATTCGTAACAGTTAACGACGGACGGCGGACGGCGGACGCCAAGAAATGAGATAAGTTCAATTGGCCCTTTTGGCCAGGTGTGCTAAAAATCCGGAATTTTATAGTGTGCGTACAACACTGGTCTGGCTTTTATTTCACACACTTCCGGCTATTGCACGTGTATAAACACAAATTTTATTTATTTTTTTCTGAATATAACGATGGGAAGGTACGCCAGAAAGAAGCAACATAAAGGAGATAAACCTTTGAAAGAAAAGTACCGAACGAAAAGAAAGACAAAAGATTTAGACCAAATTCACGAAGATATGTTACCTAAAAATTCAACCAAACTTCTGGAGCAAGAAGTAAATTTAGATAAACCAGGCGGAGCTCAATTTTATTGTCTTCATTGTGCGTAAGTATTATGAGTTCATATATTTCTTAATCAAAAGATACATTTAGGTTAATTACAGAGATTTAGTGTTCCTTGCAGCTTTTGAAAAGGGCAGGGTAATTTTTTCTCAGAGGGCACCTTAGGGTCTCACTTTAGTTTAGAAGGATTTTTCAAGGCGAGTCCATGGAAAAATCGCATACATTCTACAACTTAAGTTTACCTCAACCAAATGTTATGAAGCTTATACACAATACTTATTACCACAAAATACAGATAAGTTTGAATTTGGCACTGGCTACGGTTACATGGAAATGTAACGATAATATAAAAATTATTGTTACATTGGAGACTAATTGCCGGAATGCAGGGTTGGGTAAGGAATCGATTAATTACGAAAGTAACAATAATATTTGGGTCTACGGTTACATTGCGTTATTGTTACATTAACGCACTGAAATGTACGATGGGAATAGTAATAAATATGTATTAAAATAAAACTAGAAAACTTTTATTTGATATTTACAATATTGCATACAATATTTTGATTTTTTATTTACAATGACAGTTTCTACAAATCCAGTATGTTGTTTTTGGAGCATGTTTTAGTCCGACGCATTTTCGGTGAAACCACTCTAAGCAGCCATCACAAACCAGTGATACGGCAATGTGCACGCTCTATATTGCATACCCTACAATTCCATTCTGCATTTTCCCTTTATGAAGTTTAAGAAACTTTCAATGTCTGAATGCCATGCTTCAGGTGAAAAATATTTTGTTACTCTTGCGATGTTTACATTTTCGTCCAATATATTTTTTGGAAGCATGTTAGGTTGTTTAAATACATTTCAATTGTGAAAGCAATTAATGTTGACATTTGCCGACAGATTGAAATTGGTGGAAACAGTGTTTTCATTTTCAGAGTCCAGATATTTTGTGATCTTATCATTCATGACAGTACATGCTCTATTGAACAGTTCATTAAGTATTCATCAATAGTGATATTGAACTAAACTGTAGTAGTCATGATTTTTAACAACACCAAAACAATCAATACTTATTCGCTGAATAATATTATTATTATTAATATTATCTAGTACATATCGAAGAATTAAGCAACATAACTATAGAAGGTTTAAGTTTAATAAATCTATCATACATTGCAGTCTTTAATGTAACAATAACGCAATGTAACCGTAGACCCAAATATTTTGTTACATTCGTAATTAATCGGTTCCTTACCCAACCCTGCATTCCGGCAATTAGTCTCCAATGTAACAATAATTTTTGTATTATTGTTACATTTCCATGTAACTGTAGCCAGTGCCTTTGAATTTTGGTGGCGTCACTTTTACTGTTCTAGAGTTATGCCCCTTTACAAATGGAAAAATTGCTGAATTTTTCGTTTCTGTTCTCTAACTTAAGGTTGCCTCAACCAAATGTTATGAAACTTACGCACAATACTTATTACCACAACACTCAGATCAAGTACAAATTTTGGTAGCCTTACTTAAACCATTCTTCAGTTATGTCCCTTTATAACTTTATATGATATGCAACATGTGCAAGTGGAGGCATATTCCCCATTTATTCTATTTGTGGTTTGAATTTCCATGATAACAAATATGACAGACATGAACCAAAGACAACCACTGAACTACAGGCTCCTGACTTCAGTGACTTGGGACAGGCACATAGAGAATGTCATATTAACATTTCAATACCTTTTGTACTGTCTTGATTGTTTAGTTGCACACTCCTACACTTTGTATTGTCATATATAGATATAAGAAGATGTGGTATGAGTGCCAATGAGACAACTGTTTAGTTACACACTTCTACATTTTGTACTGCCATGGGCATGACTGTTTAGTTGCACACTTATACATTTTGTACTGTCGTGACTGTTTAGTTGCACACTTATACATTTTGTACTGTCATGACTGTTTAGTTGCACACTTCTACATTTTGTACTGTCATGACTGTTTAGTTAAACACTTATACATTATGTACTGTCATGACTGTTTAGTTTCACACTTATACATTTTGTACTGTCATGACTGTTTATTATATAATTAGTTGCACATTGAGGGTGACATTCCCCATTTATTTTTTGTTAATTTTGATTGAAACAGTGTTGATTTTACTAATTATATATATAACAACCTAATCAGTCATGTCAGTTGAGTTAACCTGTATTAAACTGACTAATTATCTTTCTTGAAAAGTTTTTTAATTTTCCCCCATATTAGCAAAATATGTTTTAATATTATAAATAAAAGAAAAAATGTAATAAACTAAAAGGAACCTCACACAGGCATGCATCTGAAAGTAATCTTCAAAAATTTGATGGTTTAATTTTCTGTACCTAAAGAAGAAGACTTTCAATAGCAATTGGTCTGAGAATCAGACAGCTGATTATTTGTTGAACATGATTTTGAAAATGCAATCAAAAGTATATCAGCTATACTCTTAACTTTAATTCTCATTAGATAACATTTACAACTGTAGGAAATTATAAGCCATTCTTAATTCACACCTTATATGATGTCTTGGCCGACTGAATGATTAAAGTGGTCAACTCATACTTAATATGAAAATATAAACAAACAGCTGATTGTTTACACAATGTTCATCCCCTGCATCATCAAATTATATAGAGAAAACAATCGCCTGGTTCCCCTTTAAATTGTTGACATTTTAAAATTCACAGAGGTACAAAGTCACTGTTGTCTCGTTCGATTCAATCATGAACCGTATTTGTACTACATGTAATAATCCTTTCAAGTAATCTTGCCAATGTTGGTAATGCTCTTATTAAGGTCTTCACAAGCAGTCTATGGAAATTTAAAGTGCGAATCGAGAAATCCTTTTCTTATGTGGAGTAGCGATATTTTCTTTTGTAAATGAGATGCATTGTGAGGAAATCTCAGATCTTTTGACATTTGTAGGAATAAATGAAAATTCATCTGAAAGTACTTGTTTCTTCTTTTTAAAACATGGATGTATTAAACATCCATGTTTATATACAACTTGCCATGTATTTTGAACATTTTATCCCCAAGTCTGGTGTATTTATGTACATGTAGGACTCTAAAGTGCGATGGGGACGCTAAAGTGCGATGGTCACGCTAAAGTAAGATGGTCTGCGCTAAAGTGTGATGCCTCCATACGCTAAAGTCCGATGGTCCGCGAAAGTATAGACGTAAGAAACGTAGTTGGATTATGACGTTAACAGTCATTTATACAAACCAAAAATGAATATGCCGGAAGATGAATTAAGAATATTTGATTCACAACTTTTAAATCAAATGTCCATGACTTAATTTCAGACCTAACCGTGCTTTGTCGGCTGAAGCAAATGTGTTTTTTCGGGGTGCTGGAAGAAGGACTTGTGTCCTGCAGTCGACCATTTTACTATATAGATACAAAATAGTATACGCATAGGTATCCTGTATCCTGCTTCTATTGGAAGCGAACGGATACATTTAAATCATATGATATGTTTACGTTACAGTTTACTTTGCTAATGTTTGCTGTCCCCATTAAAATATTGTCAGTCGATTTTATTGAAAAGTATCGTCGGTAAAATAAAGGTACATGTTTTTTAAGCGTAAATTATAAATTGTCGGCTAAAACAGCTTGTTCAGTGTAGGAAAATATGACATATATTTGTGAAAAAGGAGAAAGCTCGGCAATTATCGCATTTTTCTCGCATTTAAGCTTGAAGCCTTGTATCAATAAATGCTAACTTACTTATTTCGACAATGAACGCATTTTGTATTTGTAATTTACAATGACGACTAAAGTTGTTGATAGACTTTGTGAGCGGCAAGCTACACCAATTATCCAAATATTTAATACGAAAGAAATTAATAAAAAATCATTTAACAAGAAATACAGTATTTTGTGACACATAAATTACCTTTTTAGCAATGATTACGTGGTCGGTCTTCTAAATTTAGAAACATTCACTTTAGCCTACCGGTCAATCATAAAGCCTATTACATATGTTATACCTTAGCATACTAGCTTTTGCAAAAAGACTTGTTTTTAACATCCATGCCCTTTAATGAATGTTTTAAGCCCTCGAACCTTACCCTATTGTTCCATCGCACTGTAGCGTGCTATACCATCGTACTTTAGCAAACTAGCAATCATCGCACTTTAGCGTGAGACACCATCGTACTTTAGCGTACACCATCGCACTTTAACGTGACCATCGCACTTGAGAGTCCTACATTTATACAAGTAAATATGCATTTGCATTAAATAAAACCTATTTGCACGATCTATAATTTTGAGGTGTCCAAATACACATGAAATGCTTTGACAATGACGTACCAAAGACAGTGTTCTCCCCAGGCCCTTAAAGGACGGTGGGCCCGCGATGTGTTCTCCCCAGGCCCTTAAAGGATGGAGGGCTCGTGATGTATAACTTTTTGAAAGAGTTGGTATTACTTTGTTTCATTAAAAAGAATGGCGAACGTAGATACAAGTATCTTGTCTTGGGGAGGGATAAATCCTACTTTGTAAAGAATCACTCTGATTCAAACAAAAAATTCTCTGAAACTGACATTATCAAGATGCTTTATTTCTTGATTGACAACATATTTGTTACGTTTGGAGGACGTGTTTTTCAACAGACTGTCGGAATTCCAATGGGAACCAATTGTGCCCCTCTTCTTGCCGACTTGTTTCTTTATTATAATGAGGCTGACTTCATACAGGAACTTCTTAGGAAGAAAGATAAGAAGGTAGCAATATCCTTTAACTCTACGTTCCGCTATATAGATGATGTTCTCTCACTAAATAATACAAAATTTGGTGACTATGTTGAACGCATCTATCCCATCGAACTAGAGATAAAGGATACTACAGATACAGTTAAGTCTGCTTCATATCTTGACTTACATCTAGAAATTGACAATGAGGGTCGGTTGAAAACAAAACTTTACCACAAAAGAGATGATTTCAGCTTCCCAATTGTGAACTTTCCATTTCTATGTAGCAACATTCCAGCA